AAATTTATAATACAATTAGTGTTTAGTGTATAAATTAAGGAAAAACTAAAATATTTGTCAATTTTGGTCCAGTTTTTATGATACACCCACTGCATACATAACTTTGCAATCCCATATAAACATATAGAATTACAAAGTTACATTTAGTAGCTTTCCGGTAATATGCGCAACATAATAGTGACTTTTAGGTAAAAATGGTCACTTGGGTGTTACGTAACGTTTAGGGAGGGTAATTGGGGGAGGGGGGTTACAGAAAAACGTTACGGCGCGTTACATAGGGGTAGGATGGGTCAAAAATCTTCAAAAATTGCGTTACGTAATACTTGAACGTCCCCTTAGTCCTCAGGGGTGGCAAAACATCTGCATTTTGATTCTTAATCGAGGATAGATGTGGATGGTTACATGCTATGTGGGCTACAGCACCCACTTACCATCAGTGTGTTCTCTTTTGTCACCCTTATATACCTTTAATAATAAAAAAGAGGCGAAAGTGTATAATCAGTGCATATTACCAGTGATGACTTACGGAACCGAAATGTGATCTTACATAGCACTCAGAGTGCCATGGAAAAGGTTTTGCTCGAAATTATCTGCGGGATAAAATCCGTGACGAGTATATCAACAAAAAAACAAGAGTAACCGACGCAGCCCAGCAGAACTGTAAGTTGAAGTAGCAATGGGCCAGACCGATAATAGAGTAGCAATGGGTCAGACCGATAATCGAGTAGCAATGGGTCAGACCGAAAATCGATACCGCACTAGTAAGTGCAGTGTTATATTTAGTTATTTAGGATTTGAAAACAAAGAACACAAAGGATTGCGCCAGCATTGTTTTTTAAGGTACACGTTGTTTTCTTTGTGGACAATGCCAGTAACACGCCAATACAAGTAAAAATTTTGCATTTTGCAAACATAGGATTCCGGTATGCAGTTTTAATGATTCAATGTTAAATATTGCTGCACAAAATCACATATCAATACCAGTGCTCAATTCAAACTGAAAGGATTATATAGAATTTGCCCATTTGGATAGCAAACTGGCCCCCACTGAGGAAATCCTAAAATCTATGTATTGCCCTAAAGTATTATGGCATTTTTCTTTGTTGATTTTGTGGATACCTACGATACAAATCGATGAGACGTCGATTGAGTTTGGCAAAGTTTTGTATGTAGCTTTCCTCACAAGCGCATTTGAATATTTGAAATCCTTCCCTCTCTCTCTCTCTCTTCCAAGGAAGTATAAAAGATCATAAGCAAACTTAAGCACGTACGTACTATAATACAGATTACATTATAATTACAAGTCAGCTTTTATAAATATTTCCATTTTATTTTGTTAAACTTTTTGTAACACAATGCATGTCGTGATTTTTTTATAGGATAAGTGTGACAAACGAGCACACAGTCCACCTGTTGGTAAGTGGTTGCTAATTGCTATGGCCCCATAGTCTATAGGCCATAGACATCTATACAATTCCTAGATCACGAATCAAAATGCAGATGCATTGTCACCCGTGAGTACTAAGATGGAATGCCTGATTTCCAGTAAAAAGGGTCTCCGGTTCTCTACACTCACCATACGAAACACAGAAACGTCAAGCTGCTATTTTACGCTGGTATTCTGTGAGAGCGTGGTCCTTCTCCGGACGAGCCGAACTATTCGTGCTGTAACTACCTATACTACTAATATAGCTGCAGCATAACTAATTTATTGACGTTTCTTACGTTGTCAATACGAAATAAATAAAATGTTCTAGTTTATTTTTTAACCCTAATTTTTAATACTCTAGCATTAGAAATTTCCAATTCATCATGGATGCGTTTTACATACATGAAATACACATAAGCACACAAATAAATATCCTGACCCTACTCAATTATTTTTACGCCGTAGAAATACTTCTACAGGAATCGAACACGCGACCCCGTTCCGCAACTAAAAGATTAGCAGGTAGATATTCATCACATACGTAACAAAAAGTCCTACCACTATTGGCAATGATCTCTACGTAACTTGGCACGTGGAAGTATCGAGAACCGACGCATCGCATTGATCACGCAGAAAGTGGAACTAACTATGTGGAACAACTTGTTGTTTACTGTTACGCAATCTATACTGGCCATGTTTAGAGTCAATAACTGCAGAACTAATAACCGAACAGTTATAGAAGTTTAGTTAAATGCCAATAAAACATATATCCACATAATATATCAATGTTTTATTATCAACATTAAATGACATTACAATACTATCTTGGTCAATTTAGGAAACAACGGTTTTCATCTGCGCACAAAATTTAAAGAGGCATTATTATTACCTTGTACCTTTATTAGTTATACCCAGCCAAGCGTTGCTGGGTCCTAAAATGTTTTCCAAATATAATTTGAAGACATGTTGAAGTCGTGTAGAAAAACAAATTTTTCTGCACAACTGGGATCGAGTCAGTTGCGCTTTTTTCGTAAACCAAACATGCCTCAGAAAATAGTCTTTCTGAATAAACAGATGTGTGATGGTGTGACTTAGTACAGTTTACTTAAAATTGGAAATCGATTCTTATTGGTATTCAAAAATCACCATACATATGGGTTTATACTTCTGTCAGCCTTTTCTAACCTGATGTAGTTGGCAATTTCATCAGCAATGGTATTATTGGGATACTCTCCTTAGGCTGCTCTGTTCTCGTAGATTTAGATTCTTCGACACACCCAAAATAGTTCATGAGTTTGTGAAACGACATCCCTCTTTTGATTGTCTAAGCGAGATATTTTGGACGCCATTTCTTACACAAAATGAGGTTATTCCCCGTAAAATATGTTACGTATAACAAAAAGGTTGCCACGATCGTAATGATAGTAATCTTAGAATTTTTTTAAATTACAGTAACATATAAATGATAGATTCAAGATAGTGCAAGAGACAACTACAAGTGTAATATTAGGTACTATTTGATAACAAATAAATTATTTTGCATATTCCTATTTTTATGTCGAATAATAATAGCGAGTATTCGACTATTCGCCATGAGGAATGGCGAGTAATCGGTATTCGACTATTCGCCATAACAACTATTCGCGGCATCTCTGATATTCTCCCATTGCCGCACTTAATATTTTATATGCTTATACTGAAAAAGTAAGGAATGCAAATTCTGACCAAAATCGTAACATAGAACGTAGATCACAATATAAAAAGTGCATTTTATTTCCTTCCGCACAAGTGTAAACGTAAGTAGAGCAACTTTATACGTGAAAGAGTCATGCTGCAGCTATATTACGGTTGTAGCACGAATGGGGCTGTTCGATGGGGAGGTGTAGACAACCGGTGACCGTTTTTTCTGAAAACGAAGCATTCCATATTAGTCCTCACAGGTAGTAACGCATCTGCATATTGATTCTTGATCGAGAAGAGACGTAGATGTCTAAGTCTAGAAATCTACACAACATCCATTCAGCATCAGGTGGACTGTATGCTTGTTTGTTATCCATATTCTATAAAAACATGGGTGAAAGCAAAGCAGTTCAATAATAAACGATGAAAATACCATTCAAAAACGATACTTTTTTTTACAAAAAATTACTAATATATTGCTTTTGCTTATTTAGAATAACTAAGCTGGCTTAATTGTTTGCAACATTATTGCTACGCATCTGCATGATATCAAATTTGCTAGGAGTGCAGGTTTATTTGAGGTAGAATGCGGGGAATCGTATTTCAACGGCCGAGTAATAAGAGTATAACCGGTTAAATTTTCTCGAAAACTAAAACCTATGTACAAACAAAAAGGTTCAAAATACGTTGAAATGGTATATTCAAGATAAGATCATTTGTATATACTTTAAAATAAATGAATCTACTTAGTTTCATCATTATATTTTATATGCAATTGTTTTATTTATTTATTTACTCTTTATTCTAATCATCTTGAAGCTAACAATGGACGGACTTAAGACCTTGTGGTCTACCAGTCAAATCTGGGAGAACAAGAAACGTGTTGGCAGGTGTAAATTTTGACGAAAAGGAAGAAAATGAAAATTAATCTGATTAACGTTCGTAAATAAAACATACATTTTATGCGCAACTACTTTAAAACTGAGTACTAACCGAAAGATAAAAAGGTGACGACCATCGTCCCAGTTACGATGGCTTACCGTGTAAGTCAATATCTCTCCGTTAAGAGAGAAAGTGTTTTAAGAACGCGTCACAATAGCAACTGGAGAGAGAAAACCACAACTTCCTAACATAATTGCCATCTGTTCGCGAATCACTCGCCACGACTTACATTAGCCAAATAAAATAATCAAACAAACATAAAGAGGTGCGAATACAATACCGTTACAATTTGATTTGACCCGATTCCGGAAAACCAAAGATTACACATACACGTTTAGCTCCAAATTATCTTATAATGGACGGTAAGGCCCGCAGAAAAAAAAACCTGTCTTTATGTTCTGTGATTTGCAAGCAAAATTATTGCAATATACGAGTAAAAGGAAAAAATCGAGACTTGTCGCTACTCTTTCATTGTATCGTTTCAAACTAAAAGGTAGACAACGAAAATGTATTATAATCAAAATTAATTCTGGCGTCATTTATTGCGAAATTCTTGGATGCATTTATTTGTTTCCAGTACAGAATTATAAATAAAACTTACGTTATTTAGTACATGAAACTTTAAAACAATGTTAGGCAGTATTTACTAAACTAAAATATTGGGAATAAGATAAGTTTCAAAGAGTTATGACATATTATTCTGTTCAAAGATACGTAGTGATCACAATAAACTCTTCGCACACTATTTGGCAATCTAAGTTCAGAGTTTTAAACGGGGAACATTCTACGCAGCATTTGTTCGGCTGGAAAATTAATTATAGGAGTATTCAAAAAAGTTGTGCAGTAAAATCTTACTTCAATTTTTCAATCATAAAAAACAATGGTATTTTATTACCTTAACCAAATACTAGGACATCACAAATAACAAATAGCTGTAGACTGCACTTACTTATATCCGGTGAGAATGTTGAGGAGCGTTGATTTGCCGGCGCCGGACGGGCCCATGATGGCCGTAAGCTCGCCGGACCGCAACCGGCCGGATACAGATTTCAGGATTATCTTCTCATCTGTTTGTCAAAAATAAATAATTTACTTCAAGGATATACAAGGACTTAAAAAAAAACAAATATGGAAAACGTCTGATACGGACAAATTAAAATATTCAATTGACTACCAATTTCTACGTATCCATTATCATTAATAAATTACTCACTCATATAATTTACATAACTTGATTATTTTCGTAGAACCTCAAAAATAACCAGTTTTCAGTATTATGTTAAGTTTGATTTTTATTACTAGGCTGCACTAAAAGTATCGGGAATTGAATATTTCCACTGTTCCTGTCATATTAAAAATTTTTAATTGAAAAGTCCTTGGTTTTAAAAATCGAATAACATTTATTTATTTAAAAAAAGATTCTCGGTCTTGTCACAAGGTTTTGTCAAACTTGCATAGTCGTTGAGAAAATTGAATTGACTCGAGAAAATTCAAGAGCGATGATTTTATTATGACTTTCGAAGTGGTTTAACACAAAAACAGTGTGTTGACCGGATGATTTCCGCATTTGGTGATGAAGACCCATCCAAAACAACAATTTATCGCTGGTTTGCTGAATTTCAACGTGGACGTGTCAAGCTCAGTGATGATCCCCGTCAAGGTCGTCCAAAAACTGCAGTCACCCAAGAAACGTTGATGCTGTGCGTAAGCTGATTGAGGAAGATCGACATGTGACATACCGCAAAATTCAGGCAACTTTATACATTGACATGAGTCAAATACAAATAATCTTGCATGAACAATTAGGTGTAAAAAAGTTGTTTTCCCTATGGATACCGCATTCGCTCTGTGAAGAGCAAAAAGCGGCTCGCGTTACTTGGTGCGTCAGAACTCTCGAAAGATTCCACGCAGGATCCTCAAATGCTGTATACAACATCGTATCAGGTGACGAATCCTGGATATATGCGTACAAACCCGAAACAAAAACCCAGTCACGAGTTTGGGTGTTCGAAAATGAATTAAAGCCAACAAAAATTTTTCGTTCACGGAGTGTTGCAAAAAAAATGGTGGCCACGTTTGTCTCCAAAACCGGCCATGTTACGACTATTCCTCTTGAGGGACAAAGAACGGTTAATGCAGAATGATATGCTAGCATTTGTTTGCCACAAGTCGTTTCTGAACTCCGTAAAGAGAACTGCAACGCCGCATCATCCTCCATCACGACAATGCGAGTTCTCACACCGCACACAGGAACAAAAGAGTTTTTAGAGCAAGAAAACATAGAATTATTAGACCATCCGCCGTACAGCCCCGACCTAACCCCTAATGATTTCTATACTTTCCATACAATAAAGAATAAATTGCGTGGACAGATTTTCATCAGTGGACGCCCACAAAACGCCCATTTTGGATACCCCACTTTCCGAATGGAATGGTTGCTTCAATGATTGGTTCTGTCGTATGGAAAAATGTGCCAAATTTCGCGGAGAATAATTCGAAAAGCAATAAATACATTTTTAAATAGTAATGTTGTGTCACTTCCTTGATTCCCGAAATTTTCAGTGCCGTCCTCGTATTTAAAAATAAAGAAATAAGATGTTTAATAAAGTATAAAGCTTTGTACTGCTATTTGCTCATAAAATTTCTATTTTTTTTATTTTACTCATTTTAGTATTTTATTGACAGCTTCGTTGGTAATAATAAAATCTGCAGTTGCCAACTCGTCTACTAAACGGCTAACTGTTGCGGTTATTGCGTTTTCTGTCAAGGAAACTGTTTGTAAACGTGGTAGAGCCATGCTGCAGTTATATTAGTATAGTTGTAATACGAATGGGTCGGCTCGACCGGGGAAGGAGCACGCTCTCACAGAATACCGGCGTCAAATAGTAGCTTAATGCTGCTGTGTTTCGTATGGTGAGTGTAGAGAACCTGAGACCCTTTTTACTGGAAACGAGGCATTATATCTTAGTCCTCACGGGTTAAAACGCATCTGAATTCTGATTCATAATCGGGGATAGATGTAGATGTCTATGGGCCACAACCACCACTTACCATCAGGTGGACTGTGTACTCGTTTGTCACCCAATCCTATTTAAAAAAAAAGGAATTCTCGATAGAAGCCTGGAGTTTGGAAGTTGGTAGTGTTTCGCACCTGTGCCTCGGAAAGCAAATAAATATGTTAGTCCTGTGCCTGATTTCTCACGGAAAGACCTATCTTCATGAGATATGTGATCCGAAAGATTTACACATACAAACATACTTTTAAAATCAGTAGTAAATAATTCATAGACTTCAAGACGTGGAGATATGTCGAAATTTAGACTTTCAAATTCTCATTAAAACATTTGTCTATATAAAATTAATAAAACTTACAAATACTTAAATGGTACCTTTGTGGGCTTATATATGTAAATTATGTAAAATACTGGCTGAATTTTGGGTAAAGGGTGATTATAGGGTGACAAACGACACATTACACCCCTAAGTGGAAGCTGAGGCCCATAGACACCTACAGCTGCCTCGATTAAGAACCAAAGGTCAGTTGCGTTGTCATTCCTGAGCACCAAGATGATCTACTTTTGTTTCCTACCCTTACCATATGAAACACGGCAGAACTATGTTGCTATTTTACAACGGTATACTGTGAAAAGGTGGTTTTTCCCCAGGAGAGCCGACCCATTCGTTCTGCAAACCTGAGATTGCTGCAATGTGGCTCTATCATATAATGTTGCTAGGTACCTAGACCACGTAATATAACACCGATAGCCGATAATGAACATCACGAGGACAAAATAACTTTGATGTGACCAGATTCCCGAGCATATGGGCATATCAATATAATATGGACTTAAAAAGTTGTGTTGTGTCAAAATATGGGTTTTAACCAAGTTTTAACGCTAGGACTCGTTCACTCATGAGAACTTCGGGGTGCATTATTTAAAAAACTATTTACATGTTTACATGTGCTAAATAGTGTTTTGATCTCAGTATGTAGGTACTTATAAATGCTATAACTCCGCGTTGTAGGCACGTTATCATTGTTCATTATTGCACGCATAAAGCGGAGTGGAAGTTTGAACTATGAACCCTCAGCGTTATCGTACCGTTTTGTTTTTATTTTATATTGCAGCTTAATATATTGTACTAGCTGTTCCCAGCGAGTTCGCTCGCGTGTAATTTAGGGTTTTAATGTTTTTGCGCGGAACCCTAATTCTTTTTCCAAAATAAAAGTAACTCCATATACTCGTAACATAGCTGTATTCCAGTGAAAGTCCCTTCAAAATCGGTCCAACTATTTCGGTGATTAGCCGGAACAAACAGACACATAGACAGACAGACAGACCGTATATATACTTTCATATGCATTTAGTAAAAAACTGTTTGACTGACTTTGACATTACAAACGAAAACTTCAATTTTATTTATTTGTATATATATGACGCGTTAACTTGATCAGCTCTGTAATAAGGTTAAACCCTACTTAAAACCTCTTTAAAGCACTTTCAAATATATACTCATTCATCATTGTCACCACCGAATACTATAATACATAAATAATACAACGGGGGAGTGGGCGGAACACCTGTAGCCACTAACATGTCAATTCACACCTATGAATGTCAACACAATCACAGTTGACAACCATTCTATTGTATATTATATATGATTGTCATCATTACAGCCAATTGAAAGTCCACTGCTGAACACAGGCTTCCTTCATGGATTGCCTCACAACGGAGACATTTGCCACAGTCGCCACGCATAGCAGACGAGTTGGCAAACCGCAGATTTTGCTATTTTGAGTTGTAATCAGGAAGATGCCACTGCTTTTCTCCTGTTTTCCTATGCGTATTATGACACCCACTGGATGATAAAGTTGTAGGAGATTCTTGCCTTTGTGTAAAATTTTAGTTATTTTTCGCGTTGCGCGGTTCGATGTAGTGTTGCGCGCTAATTGATATGCCCATATACTCGGGAACCTGGTCACATCAAAGCTTATTTTGTCCTCGTGATGTTCAATATCGGCTACCGGTGTTATATTATGTGGTTTAGTTACCTACCAACATTACAGGATAGAGCTATATTGCAGCTATATTAGGTTTGCAGAACATAAAAATATCATATACGGAGATTCAACCAGCGATAGACTTTTTTTTAAATGAATAAGGGTGACAAACGAGCACACAGCCCACCTGATGGTGAGTGGATGCTGTGGCCCATAGACATCCACATTTATGCCCGATTAAGAATCAAAATACAGATGCGTTTTCACCCCTGAGGACTAAGATGGAATGCCTCGTTACCAGTAAAAAGGGATCTCCGGATCTCTACACTCACCATACGAAACACAGCAGTATTATGCTGCTATTTTATGCTGGTATTCTGCGAGAGTGTGATCCTTTCCCGGTCGATCCGACCCATTCGTGCTACAACCATAACATAGCTGCTGCGTTACTCTACTACATTCAAAACCTCTAGTCGTATGCAGCATTATAATAAATGGTGCTCAGTCAATTTTAAAAACATCACCCACAGCTGCAGCTTCGCTAGGTGCTTACTGCCATCGATCCATTACAGCCTATAAAAGTCCACTGCGTAACATAGGCCTCCCCCATGGATTGCCTCATAGAGGATATTTTGCCATAGTTGCGAGGGGATTTTCAACCGTAGTTTCTTATTATTTTGAGTTGTTATCAGGAAGACGTTGCTGCCCAGCCCCTGTTCCAGTTTTCCTCTGTCGCCTCTCACGACACCCAGGGGACGATATGGGTAGCGGATATTGTTACACCGCCACTACACGGCTAACTAAATAAATCATCTATATCAGTTTCTCTCCGTCGTCTCTTACGACACCTACGGGACTATATGGGGTAGTGGATATTCTTACACCGCCACTACACGGCTAACTAAATAAATCATCTATATCAGTTTCTCTCCGTCGTCTCTTACGACACCTACGGGACTATATGGGGTAGTGGATATTCTTACACCGCCACTACACGGCTAACTAAATAAATCATCTATATCAGTTTCTCTCCGTCGTCTCTTACGACACCTACGGGACTAT